GCTCGGCTGCTGGGCGGCTCGGCTGTTGGGCGGCTCGGCGGCAGTGCGGCTCGGCTCCCGGGCGGCTCGGCGGCAGGGCGGCTCGGCTCCCGGGCGGCTCGGCTGCAGGGCGGCTCGGCTCCCGGGCGGCTCGGCGGCAAGGCGGCTTGGCTCCCGGCGGTTCTGCTGCTAGGCGGCTCCCGCAGGTAGGGCGGCGGTAGGGCCGCAAGGAGGGCGGCGGGCGGGCCGCAGGTAGGGCGGCGGTAGGGCCGCAAGTAGGGCGGCGGGCGGGCCGCAGGGAGGGCGGCGGTAGGGCCGCAAGTAGGGCGGCGGGCGGGCCGCAGGTAGGGCGGCGGGCGGGCCGCAGGTAGGGCGGCGGGCGGGCCGCAGGTAGGGTGGCGGGCGGGCCGCAGGTAGGGCGGCGGGCGGGCCGCAGGTAGGGTGGCGGGCGGGCCGCGACGTGAGGGCGGCGGGGCCGCTGTAGTGGGGCGGCGGGGCCGCTTAGCAGAGAGCGGCGGGGCCGCGTGAGCAGGGCGGCGGGGCCGCGTGAGCAGGGCGGCGGGGCCGCGAAGCAGAGGGCGGGCGGGCCGCGACGTGAGGGCGGCGGGGCCGCTGTAGCAGGGCGGCGGGGCCGCGTAGCAGAGGGCGGCGGGGCCGCGTGAGCAGGGCAGCGGGGCCGCGAAGCAGAGGGCGGCTGGGCCGCGCGAGCAGGGCGGCGGGGCCGCGAAGGAAGGGCGGCGGGGCCGCGTTAGTAGGGCGGCGGGGCCGCGAAGGGAGGGCGGCGGGGCCGCAAGGGGCGACACGGAGGGTCGCTAAAAAAGGAAAACGCGCCTCGGGGCGCGCTTCGGTGGGCCCTAGAAGCAGTCCCTAGGAGGGGACCTGCTCTGATTCCATGTGGAAATGAGGAACGAGAATGGGTGAACTATGAAATGAAGTGAGTACAAATAGGAAACCCTAATTGGGTTGTACCCCCTATGGGATACCCCACTATAGCCTACACAACAGCATAAGCTATATAATGTTCTGACATCAATGCCTGGCATGGAGAGAAACAGGGCCGCACCAAGCCCGCGGGAGCCCCGCGAAGCCCGTTGACACGTGGAGTTTGCAGCGACAAGTGGCGAATACGCCGTCACGGCACCAATGCCACTCAAGCCGCAGCGCCCGCCCTGTTTCGACCCGAGCCAACGTGGAGGTCCGACGGTTCAGTCGTGGGTCTTCACGATGAACGTTTTCTTCGACGCGAACTACGTCAAATCGGACGCAGCGAAGATTCGTTACGCTGTTTCGCTGCTGAGGGGCCTCGCCATGGACTGGTGGTGAGTCTTCGTGACGTCGCCAGGCGCCTATGAGCCTCCGTCGCAAGAAGAAGGGCCCACGGGTACAGCCGTCACCTGGAGTTCATTCTGCGAGACAGCCCAGTACAGCATGTGGGATGCGAGGTGCGCAGGGCTTCGGGCGCGTTTCGAGCCGATTGCGGCTTCGATTTCGGCGTGTCAGAAGCTGCGCACTTGGCGGTAGCTCGGATCGGTTCAAGACTACACGAGCGGTTTTCTCGCATTATGCGAACAAGTTGGCTATATGCACGAAGCGGAGTGGGTGGACCGTTACGTCGGAGGGCTAAAGCCGGACATCTTGCACGAAATCATGATACGCGGGCTCTCGAATTTCAAACGAGATCCTCGCGCTCGCCGAGAAAATCGACATCCTACGACGATCGAGACCGGGGTCCTACTACGGACAACGTCCTCGAGGACCAATCGAGCACGCCACCGTACACGCCGTTGCGACGAATGCAGCTGCCGCACCGTTTAAGGGGCGCTGCCTTGCTTGCAACAGGCCGGGCCATCGCAAGAGTGAATGCCCAGAGGAGCTGAGGCACCGCAGAACAGAGCAGGGGCGAGAGTCTCAAAGGCCGGGAAACGCCAGCAGTCAGTAGAAGTTGGGCCAACTACTGACGAGACTGCCTGCTCGCCCAACCTCACCGACCCTCACCGAGTCACACTACCGATTCACGCTATCGATCGGGCTCGGACGAATAAGGAGGGTACAGCGACGGATTGCCTAGTACTGATCCACGGAAAAATACAAGGAGCGGCTGTGAAGATTTTTTTAGACGGAGGCGCAAGTCACAGCTTAGTTAACACCGCGACTGCAAGAAAGCTGCAACTGGCATTTAGTCGGTGTTTACCATAGATAGATGCACGCTTAGTTGACGGAATGCCGCTGGACATACGGGAAAAAGTGGAGAGAGTAAAAGTCCGCTGTGGAGGAAACATCGGGTTCACACAAGGAATGCTCGCGACGACATTGGATGGGCACGACATTTTACTGGGACGCGATTGGCTGCGACGATACAACCCGCGAATCGAGTGGATGATGGGTAGCTGCACTGTGCGAAGTAGCGGTAACTGGGTTGAGCTACCTCGCTGGCAGTCGCCTGAGTCTTCAACCGTCCATGTCAACGCCATCACCATGAAACGGGCTGTCGCCGCTGGGGCTGACGTGTACGCGGTGGATATCGCAATAGTGGAAGAAGTAGAGCAGCCGAGCTACTGGCAGCAGTACCACCCGAACTACAGGAACTGTTGAAACAATTCCCGGGGATTTTCCCCGACGACTTACCGGAGGGACTGCCACCTCAGCGGGCGCATGATCACTGAATAGAATTAAAACCCGGTCTCAGAATCCCAACCACTAGACCATTGAGATAAAAGGGCTTGTTAAGTAGCGGGTCAGTGCGCCCATAACCCCCCAGGCCAACATGCCTGTCACCCTTCCTTAGGATTAATCGGGGATCATCAGTGGACCTCTAACACCCCCCCGCACTGGGATGCCCGAAGTGCACACACTGGGATTCGAAGACGAGAATTGCTGCTACAAGAGGCACACGACGGAGTCACCTCAGGCCATTTCGGGGTAGAAAAAACACGGCAGCAGCTGCAGCGGTATTATTACTGGCCCGAAATGCTGACCGACGTGCAGCGACACGTGGCATCGTGTCCCACCTGCCAACTCATGAAATCATCACGGAAGCGCCCGGCAGGGCAGTTGCAGCCGATACCACCCCCAGAGCGTGCTTGGCAGCAGGTGACGATGGACTTCGTCATGGGGTTACCGGCCGGAGCAAGTGGGAACGACGCGATCCTGGTCGTCGTCGATCGGCTGACGAAAATGGCACATTTCGCAGCCTGCAAAAAAACAATCACAGCCGTAGAAACGGCCCGCCTCTTCATCTCAACCATCGTCCGATTACACGGGATACCAGCAGCGATCATCAGCGACCGCGATACGAAATTTACCAGCAATTTCTGGCGGAACCTGTGGCAGCAGTTCGGCACGAGACTGCAGTTCAGTTCTTCGTACCACCCCGAAACCGACGGACAGACAGAACGGACAAATCAAACCATGGAACAGTTAATCCGAGCCACGTGCGACGATCCGACCACCTGGGAACAGCAACTGCCACTCATCGAATTCGCGTACAACAACTCGCCATCCGCCACGACCCAACAGTCACCGTTTTACCTGAACTACGGACAAGACCCTACAGTACCCATGACTCCGAATCCCGACAACCCAGTACCACGCGCGCAACAATTCGCAGAAATATCACAAGCAGCACGAACCAGGGCAGCCGAGGCAATAAAAAAGGCCAACGTCATCGCTAAGCGCAACGCCAACCGCCACCGTAGACCTGTCACTTACCAACCCGACGACTTAGTTTTACTCGACACTCAAAACCTCCGCCTGCCCATAACCCCAAAACTCCGCCCCTGGTATTGCGGGCCATTTCGCATCAGCCACATGATCACACCTGTCACAGCCCACCTCCTCCTCCCTGCTGACTCGTACGTAAGCCCGTCCTTCCACGTCACTCTGCTTCGCCCCTACGTCCCATCCACCAGCCAACTGGCCCGAAATCGCCCAGCCAGCATGACACGACCACCGACAGAACCAGTCATCACGCCCGAGAAGATTCCCAGCCATCGAGTTCGTGACCCACGAGGATTTCGAAGGGTCGAATTCCTGATCCGCTGGAGAGACCGCACGCCCACCGAAGACAATTGGGTTCCCCTGGACAGAATCGAAAACCACCCCGTCCTCACCGAGTATCTGCGCAGCCGGAATTTCCGGGATGTACACGCGTTTTCGTAAGCGAGGCCTCCTTAGGGGGGGGGGGGGGGGGTAGTGTAGTGAAAATTCCTTTTCCTTACTTCGCGTCCCTGCTCAGCGCGTACACCACTGTTCCCGCCAACAGCACCCCACAATAATCTGTTACCACTCGCGACATTCGCCTCGACCCCATTCCCGCCACTGTTTATGATGCGACCCAACCTCACGGTTCGGTTGGTAACCCGCGCTCCGGACCTCCGCCTCGACATTCCCCAACCTCGGCACCAGGCCTGTCGCGCACCCCATTTTCCACACGTTACCGTTACCACTGTAGCTTCGCTATATATTCTTCGCTCAAAACCTTCGCTCGTTGTATCTTGCCTCGATAGTGCAATCATCGCTCGCTCACTCCATTGCACTCGTAACACACTATAGGATGTGCAGCGTACACAGTATAAGCATATCCAGCAACTCGCACGATCTGTGTGAGACGAGGATGTGCTGTTTGTTGGTTAAGTTTGTAGGGGCGTGTGCCGAACCAAGAAAGCAGAGTGTGACTCAGTTACATAAACGCAACGAAAGCAGACAAATTTCTCGAAGCTTGTAATGCGAACCGTGCATGACACTCCATTTTATTTTTCTCGTTGATGCAGACCGGCACTATACAGTTCGATCCTGCTCATGTGTACACAGGCCCTTGTTAAACCTCCACACCTTGGGATTCACCTGTCATTCCCCAAGCATGCCTGCTCAGGAATCAAGTAGGCTGGCAGCAGTGAAGCTTCCGATATCTCGGAGTAGAATGGTCAACGGGAATTTCTAGAAGCTGGTGTTACCTGACCGCAGCTGCAACGTCAGGAAAGCAAGTTTCGCGCGCGCAGAACTCCCGCTCAGCTCGATCTCCCATGGCGATCTCGCGAGAGGAGCAATTGCTGCAACGGCCGCCGGAAGCGGTAGCCGACGTACGCGTTAGAAGGAATCCTGATCCCATTTTTAGTCCTAAAGGCATTTTACACGTTGCCAGTCTCTCCATAGTCAGCTTCGCGATATCTCCTCCTTTCGCAATATTTCGGACGTAATCACGTTGCGGGAATGTACCCGAGGTTTCGATTGTCCTCGCCGTAGCTCCCCTCATGAGAAGAATGACGACCACGAATAACTGTATTGAGGTTTCCATTGTCCTCATCGGTAGCTCCGGCTCAAAAGCCACCCTGCTCCGCTCGAACGAGTCGCGCACGACGATCATGAGTGGCGACGTCTCGGCGTGGGTCCGTGATCCCTTGTGTGGAGTCGTAACTGAATGTAACAGGCACAGTGACATCGTAACTGGAATGTAGTATACGACAACTCCTATTCCCACGCCAGAAATCACTCCTCTCCCCTCCTCTCCCTCCTCTCCCATCCTCTCCCCCTTCTCCTCTTTCCCCCTTCCTCTCCTCTTCCCCCCCTTCCACATTTCCCTTCCTGTTTCCCCTCTCCCCTTCCCCAACCCCTAAATCATCCCACCACCTATCTCCCGTGCTTCAGCGGTTTTTCCGCGACCTCTTTGCGACGGGCGTGGGCGCAGGGCTCACTGTGCGACACACGAGCGACATGGGGCGAGGTGATGAGCGACATGGGGCGAGGTGATGAGCTACATGGGGCGAGGTGATGAGCTACATGGGGCGAGGTGATGAGCTATATGGGGCGAGGTGATGAGCTACATGGGGCGAGGTGATGAGCTACATGGGGCGAGGTGATGAGCTACATGGGGCGAGGTGATGAGCTACATGGGGCGAGGTGATGAGCGACATGGGGCGAGGTGATGAGCGACATGGAGTCCTAGGCTGAGTAGTTTGAGAACGCTCAGAACAAGTGGTGGAACGGGGAGTAGCGGTTGGTTAGAGGCCCTCCCTTGCCCACTGCCCCGTTTGAGGCGTTCGCCTAGCTTGCCCAGCCCAGTGCGAGAGGTCCTGGTAAACTTGCCCTTGCTTCATTTCACCTAAAATGCTTTGTTAGAATTTCTTTACTAAATTACTGCACTAATCTGTTTGAGAACAATAAGAAGCCGTCAAGCCACACCACAGGGACTACCTGCCAGCTGTCAGCTCATCTACCCTCTGCGCTTTTTGTTTGCTGATTCCTCCATTCTCGTCCAATCAGGGGTGTTTGCTGACGTGGATTTCAAGGAGGGTGACGTGGTGCTGCAGGAGCCTCCTTTGGTCAGCATGCAACACTCTCACAATAGGGTAATCTGTACACTCAGTTTGTTTTGGGTTCCCTTCAATCCTCTCTTGATGACGTGTCAGGCCCACTGGTCTGCTCTTACTGCTTGTGCTTCATTCACCCACTGGAGTAGCTGCTGCGTCTGTCATCACCTTAAACCCGAAACCCCCAAACTTGAACCCTTACCTTAGACCCGAAACTCCAAATCTTGGACCCTTTCCTTAAATCTCAGCCAAATTTTGAACCTCACTTGAAACCTCAAACCCTGAATTCTAACCCTCACCTTATCCAAACCTTATCCAAACCCTAAAACCTGTGGCAGGCCCAAGCACTGGTCTGCTCCCACTGCTTGCGTTTCATTGGTCCGCTGGAGCAAGCTGTTGCCCGACTGCTGACGTGGCAGAAGGGTATGAGAGAGGAGGAAGAGGGGGACGAAGGCGAGGAGGATCAAGAGGAGAGTAAGGGGGAGGAGAGAAAAGACGAGGAAACATTGGGAGGAGGAGGAGCAGCAGCCGAGAGATTCATAGAGCAGTTGTCAAGCGGGCAACTGAAGCTGCCACATGCAGAGTGTGTGGGTGCATTGCCCCCTGCTGTGCCGTGCCCTGGCGGGTGCACTCAAGAGGTCTTCTGCAGGTGAGGCGGATGGGGAGGATAAGTGGATGGGTGTGGTTAGAAAGGGACTGACACTTATGCAATCGAGTGGTAGAGTTGTTTTTTGGAGTGTATGGGTGCGGTGCCCTCTGCTGTGCCGTGCCCTGGCGGGTGCACTCAAGAGGTCTTCTGCAGGTGAGGCGGTAGGGCCAGTGGATGGGTAAGTGGGAAGGGATTGGTATTGAAGGAGACAAGCAGTAGATTGGATACTTGGAATATGTGGGCGCCTTTCCCCCTGCTGCACACCACATGATATGATCTACGCCTCATGACATACCATACCCCATCCATCCGTACCCACACTACATGTCCTACTGCATGTCATGCCGCCCGCATGTCATGCCCCATGTCATACCCCATGCCATGCCTCATGCCATGCCCCATGTCATACCCCATGCCATGCCTCATGCCATGCCCCATGTCTCCTATCTCCATGCCATGCGCAGTGCTGTGTTGCATGCGTGCATATCCTCCCCTATCCCCTCCCATCCCATCGCATGACCACATGATAGCTATTATCTTCCATCCTTTTGAGATGCCTCGGAACTCTCTCTTCCGTGCGTTCATATCCTCCCCTATCGCCTACCATCCCACCGCTCTACACCATGATAGCTAATCCCTTCCATCTTTTCGACATGTCTCAAAATTATGTACTCCGTGCATATCCTCTCCCATCCCACCCCCATCCCATCGCACTACCCCATGGATTGCGCCCCCCTCTCTCATCAGCTCCACATGTGCCACGTCAGCATGGGCGGATGGCCATGCCATGCTGTGCCTGGGGCATGCGTCACATGCCAAGGATACTCAAGCACTGAAGGCTTTCTATACCCATGCTGATGGTGAGTAGATGCTGATGGTGAGGGGTGAGAATGGTAAGGCAAATAGGGGGGATGGGACTTTTCATGGGGGATCGCACTCTGCACTCATGCCATGCTATGCCATGCTATGCCTATGCCTATGCCTGGGCCATGCCTCTCATGTTTTTATGCCTCTCATGTTAAGGACGCTCTACAGCTTCAAATCAAAGGCCTCCTTTCCCCATGCTGATGGTAAGGTGATGCTGATGGTAAGGTGATGCTGATGGTAAGGAAAAGATGTTAGCTATTAAGTCGACTCGACAGCTGCATGGTGGGAAGTGGATTCCTCTCTTTCTTTCCTCCTCTTTTCCATTTTTGCCCTTCTCTTTCTGTTGTATCTTCTTCTTCCCCCCCACCCTTACCTTTGCAGAATCAAATGACATCTTTCGATTGGCCGCTAAGGTGATTGATTGGGCCTGTAGAATTTCTGGCAGACGTGTTGTTGCCATTATACCCTCGTGTTGTTGCCGTATTAACCTCGTGTTGTTGCCGTTTTACCCTTATTGCACATTTATTTTCATTGCTACCCTCTTAGGTTGGGTTGGGTTTGAATGCCAATTGCTAAACAATGCAGGCATTCTCCTATGCAGGAGTCCATTCCGTTTCTGCTAGCTTTCTCAAAAGTGGCTCCAACATACCTAAAAACTGCTTTCTTTCTGCTGCTGCATCCATCTCGCAACCACACCCCACTGCTGCTTTATCAATTCCATTACTGGTGAGGTGGTTCTCGGAGGTGCCTCAGAAACTGCATGTGATAAGAGTTCGGTTTTGCGATGAATCAGAACCCAACTTTTATCACTATTCCACTACTGGTGAGGTGGTTCTCGGAGGTGCCTCAGAAACTGCGAGACAGGGCTGATGCAGCCAAATGCATTCTCTCTCTTTTATCTTCCAATGGCAGGTGGTCGCATCAGCCCTTTCTCGCGCTCACTCGTTACTTGGAAAAAGGGGAGGAGGGCTTGGGGACGAGAAGAAAGAGGGAAATGGGGAGGGGGAGGAGGAGAGGTGGAAGGTGGTTCTGGAGGCATGGACTCCTTTTGCTGTGGGGCACAAGGCCGTGTGAGTGGAGGGCAAGGTGCAAAAAAACGGCCGAAATTTTGAAATTCTGGCGTATAAAACGCCATCGTATTTTTTCAGCCGTTTAAAACGGTTTAAAACGCCAAAATGATGTAATTTAAATGTGGTGCAAAAAAACGGTGTTTTTTACTCCCAATTTTTTTGAAACCATTGGTGGTGTAGACATATTTTCAACTGTTCTTTCCAACCATGACCCTTGATTGGATGAACCAGCCATGAGGAAGACCAAGGGGATATATCCGTGGGACTGTAGAACAGTGACTTCGGGGAGGAGAAGGATGAAAAGTGTGAGGGGGAGGAGGAGGAGGAGGGTTAAATGAGCGCACCTTAGACACTTTGCTAGCATTGTATTGCTTCTTCGCTATCCTAGTCAGGAGTGGAGTCGTTTCTACTGTTTTCAAAAAAAAAAAATCACAGAATTCTCTAACAAAAAAACGGCCAAAATTTTGAAATCTGACCGTAAAATACGAGCGTAAAAAACGGTCCGTATTTTACTCTTGCCGAAATTTTGCACATTGGTGGAGGGTGTGTGAGAGAATGGGGTGATTGAGAAGAGGGGTGAGTGAAGGTGTGGGGTGAGGTGGAAGGTGGTGCTGGAGGCATGGACTCTCTTTTCCTTGTGGGGCACAAGGCCTTGTGAGTGGAGGCGATGAGTGGGGGTGAGAGAAGGGTGGTGAGAGCAAGCACGTGGTCTGACTTGCTTTCTTCTGCTGCTTTGTGTATTCTTCTGTGAATGACTATACGCCACATGTCCTCTCGTTATTGGTTCGTGCAGATGGTGGGAGGCAGTGGCGTGCCCGCCTGACGTGGAAGCAGGAAGCGACGAGGAAGCTTCCTTCCGAGCCTGCATGAAATCTATGGCCGAGGAGGTGTGGTGGAGGTGAATGGACAGCTCAGATCGTTCGTAGGTTTACTGCAGTAGGTTTGCTTCTATGACTAGTTTGCTTATCGTTCTGTGGAATTGGCTTCAGATTGCTACTGTCTGTACTGCCATGCATATCTGTTTCCCTATTCCTTCTCTTCCCTTGTTCTTCCCTTCCCGTTTTCTTCCATCCCATTCCCCTGTTCCCTCAGTCTCTCAAACTGCTCATGCAAGCCATAGGCCCACAACCACCTTTGCTGCAGCCATGTGAGTGTAACCATGCTGTCGTTGTGTTCTGTGTAACCACTTCCCTGTCACTCTCACTCTCACTCTCACTCTCTCACACTGCTCATGCAAGCCATAGGCCCACAACCACCTTTGCTGCAGCCATGTGAGTGTAACCATGCTGTCGTTGTGTTCTGTGTAACCACTTCCCTGTCACTCTCACTCTCACTCTCACTCTCTCACACTGCTCATGCAAGCCATAGTCCCACAACCACCTTTGCTGCAGCCATGTGAGTGTAACCATGAAACCATGTACGTACTGTGTTATAACAACATGTAACCATGAAAACCATTTGCTGTTTCACGACGTGCGACCATGCAATCATGCACTGTGTTACAACATGTAACCATTTACAGCACTGCGTGCAGCTATGTGCGGTGGTGAACTAATGGTGAAGGTTAATTTCTCTGACGTGGAAATTGATATTTCTCAAAATCACCCATGAAATCATGTGTTGTGTTACAATGTGTAACCATCGACAGCACTGCATGCAGCCGTGTGAAGTGAGCTCTTTGCAGCCATGCATGCATGTCTGGTGCAACCACATGTGAAGCATGCCTCTTCTCTGTTCCATTTCCCTTTCCTTCTCCCTCTACCAGTGCTGTCCCTTTCAGTCTACGGGTCCATCATTGGCATGTTCGAACTCAACAACCTGTAAGTTGTTCGAGTCAGCTACATTTGATCTCCTCGGATACCAGATTTCAGCTGCATCACAGCTCTACAGACAGAAAATCCCACTAGTGCTCTCGCTTTCAGTCTACAAGGTCTATCATTGGCATGTTCGAGCTCAACAACCTGTAAGCACTTCAAATCAAATCAGCTACACCAACAGACAGCGATTCGTAGCTGCATCAGATCTCTGCAGACAGTAAGTCCCACCAATGCTGTCGCTATCATTGGCATGTTCGAGCCCAACAACCTGTAAGCATCTCAAGTCAGCAACTTGAACACACATTGAATCATTGCTGGATTGGATTTCTACAGACTGGAAACCCCCCCAGTGCTGTCACCATTGCTGTCACTCTCGGTCTACGGGTCTATCATTGGCATGTTCGAGCTCAGCAACCTGTAAGCACTTCGGATTGTATCAGTCTACGGGTCTGCGTTTGATATTTCAAGGCGCCTCAAGTTTTGAGACGTCTCAAAACGGGTCTGCGTTTGATATTTCAAGGTCAGCTACATTTGATCTTCTGAAATGCCTCAATAATCAGACTAGCTACATCAAATCCATCTCCGCATTTGCACATTAAGTAGGGCGCCTAAAAAATCGTCTCAAAGGTTTTGAGGCACCAAAAGAAAAGTCGCCAAACTTGTGAGATGCCATCATTAGCATGGGATGCTGTAACTTAGCAAACCTGTTAACGGCTCAAATCACCTTAAGTCTATATTTTCATGCATCTAAACACTTGTTGTGAATGTTACCCTAGCGAATGTCAGAATCCAGGTGCTTTTTTTTTTTCCATTTTTTCTTCACTGCTCTCATCGATCTGCTAGTGCCGCCATCACCACTACCAACCAACCCACTTCAACACAGAACATCCATTTCCATTCCAGTTCTCATTCCACGTCAAAGAAATGGACGAGGCACGAGTCTCACTAGCACGGGTCTCACTAGCATGGGTCTCACTCTCTCCCATCAAACTACCTGGTGGTGACACCCTTCCCCAATAACAACCTACATCAACACAACACATCCATTTTCTTTCTCTCATTTTGCAGCCTTTCCTTCAGTAACAACCCACTTCAACACAACGCAGCAACCATTTTCGTTCCTACCGTCTCACCCTCCAGGGACCTGGTGGTACCTTCCCCGGTAACAACCTACTTCAATCGGCTTCAAGAAATGGACGAGGCTGAGCAGGTGAGGCGCCCCCAAGGCTAATTGCCACCTAGCGGTAAGTACCTACCTGTAGTTGCAACGTTGCGTGATAGAAGTGTAGTTTTGAGACGTCTCAAAACCACACTTCTATCAATGGACGAGGCTGAGCAGGTGAGATATCTCCCAAGGCTAATCGCTACCTGGTGGTCCTAGTTTTGAGTCTAAACACTAAACCCTAAACCCTAAACCCTCAAAACTAGGTACCTACCTGTAGTTGCATGTGCCAGTTCAGAATTAATACGCGGTTATGTTTCTTTTCCTCGTTGCATTTCCATTCCTTGCTCCTCAGACACTCGAGGCATTGTGTGTTGCGTTCGTGCATGAGGTGTGCTCATTCTTTATGTGACGCTTCATTCATTCTCTCTGAGAAATATAATTCTCCGTGAATGGTGAGAAATATCATTCTCCGTGGATATGTGCTTGTTTGTTGGAGGTAAATGCAGAGGGCAGTGGTGGGGGCCCACTAAGGGATGGGCTTACAGCCACTTCCTTCTCTGACCATGACCCTTGCCGGTCCGTGCATGCATGCATGTGTGCTTGTTTGTTGGTGCAGGCAGACACAGAAGAGGGCAGTGGTGGGGCCGCTAAGGGATGGACCTACAGGCATTTTCTTCTTTCACCAATGACCCTCGTCTGTCCGTGCATGCATGCGTGTGCTTGTGTGCTTGTGTGCTTGTGTGCTGGTGTGCTTGTGTGCTTGTGTGCTTGTGTGCATGTGTGCTTGTTTGTTGGTGCAGGCAGACACAGAAGAGGGCAGTGGTGGGGCCGCTAAGGGATGGACCTACAGGCATTTTCTTCTTTCACCAATGACCCTCGTCTGTCCGTGCATGCATGCGTGCTTGTGTGCTTGTGTGCTTGTGTGCTTGTGTGCTGGTGTGCTTGTGTGCTTGTGTGCTTGTGTGCATGTGTGCTTGTGTGCTTGTGTGCTTGTGTGCATGTGTGCTTGTTTGTTGGTGCAGGCAGACGCAGAGGCAGTGGTGGGGCCACTAAGGGAGCTGCTAGAGCAAGGCGGAGGGGGGAGAGGTGGTGATGACAAAATGGGGAAGGCAGTGGAAGGAGAGGGGATGACGGGTGGAGGAGGGGATGGGGGAGGGGTTGAGGGAGAGGAGGAGGAGGGGGCTGCAGGGAAGGATGGGGATGAAGAGGGAGAGGAGGAGGATGATAGCACGGACTATGATGATGATGATGATTTGCTGCAGTGGCACTGTCAAGGTATGAAAATGCAGCTGATGACTTAAAGGATATGGGTAGTTTACATCCACTGGTGTGTGCGGTGCTGATGATGATGATGATGATGTGTGTGTGCTGCTAGTGTAGCTGCAGCAAACATGATGAACTTATTTCTGCTGGCCACACGGGCCATCAGTGCTCTACATCTCCAGATCCTTGTATCTGAATCCAGTTTTGATGCACTGTATACTTCTTTCTTTTGGCCACACTGGCCCTAGATCTGCACGTCCCTGTTAGAGCTGCTTTTGAGAGATCTTAAAAGCCACACTGCACTACACCTTCAGATCCTTGTATCTGAATCCAGTTGCAGCGCGTTCCGAAACTTGATTTTCCTATTCCACTCGACTGACAGCTCTGCCTTCTCTGTCTGCTCCCCTTTTCAGTCTATTTCCAGGCACAGCCTTCTGCTTATCCACTTCTCGTTCTGCTTTCTCTCTCTTCTTCGTTCTGCCTGCCAGGCACCGCTTTCTACTCTCTTCAGAGCAGCATCAACCACTCATGCTGCCCCAATACACATGCCTTCAAGCGAGACGAGGTGAGGTTTTGCACGAGATGGTCGAGGAGGCCTTCAGCCTTAGTTCCCCCATAGAACAGCGAAAGAGAAGACGCAACGGATGCAGTCCGGTCGATACCGTAGGTAAGACCCTCCAAGAACTGTGCGGTTCACTCAATCTGCTCGACGGTTGGTTCTAATTGGTTCGTGAGACTCTCGAAACGTTTTTGCGCTCCTCTCATTCTGGACCACTGGTTCCCATTCTCACAACAGTGCATGCCCGTGTACCCATGGATGCCCATGCATACCCATCCATACCCATGCATACCCATCCATACCCATGCATACCCATGCAACAGGCCAGTAGTTCATGGGTTCCCACGTGATAAAAGTTGTATTTTGAGACGTCTCAAAAAACTCCATCCAGGGAATTCACTGTACCATTGGCCCTGTGCTGCTGTGCCACGTGGCAGGACATGGATGGTCGAGCAGTGCTGCTGGCAAGCCGAGACATGAAGAGAGGAGAGCAGGTTCGTCTGCTCGTCTGCTCGGGCTGGATGCGAGTTGCTGCAATGCATTCACTGCAATGCATTCACTGCAATGCATTCACTGCAATGCATTCACTGCAATGCATTCGCTGCAATGCATTCGCTGCAATGCATTCGCTGCAATGCATTCGCTGCAATGCATTCGCTGCAATGCATTCGCTGCAATGCATTCGCTGCAATGCATTCGCTGCAATGCATTCGCTGCAATGCATTCGCTGCAATGCATTCGCTGCAATGCATTCGCTGCAATGCATTCACTGCAATGCATTCACTGCAATGCATTCGTCTGAAACAATCTCTGCCCGGATTGCACTCTCTGCCCGGATTGCACTCTCTGCCCGGATTGCACTCTCTGCCCGGATTGCACTCTCTGCCCAGTACAAAAAAGTGTAAACGTTCTCCCCCCTGCCCGTCCCCCCTTCCCCCCCCCACAATATCGCCCACAGGTGTTCATATCGTATGTGGAGGAATCTCTTTCAATAGAGGAGCGAAAGGAAGCTCTAGCAGACTACGGCTTTGTGTGCCAATGTGACCTGTGTGTGGCACAGGGGGCAGGAGTAGCACTTAAGGAGTGGCCGAAGAAGCAGTGTGGGGGAGCAGGAGTAGGACCTAGGAGTGGCCGAAGAAGCAGTGTGGCACAGGGGGGGCAGGAGTAGGACGTAGGGAATGGATTGGGAAGGGAAAAATCAAGGCAGGCCAGAAGAGTGGAGATTGGAGGGGAAGGGAACAGCAAACCGGATTACATGGAACAGAGGAGAGGGAAGAGGGACCAAGGAGAATCAACAGCAGACTACTATCGGTACTATGTGTTGTGCACTGAGTGGCACAGGGAAAGCCCCATGGGTGGGGAGGGAGGATAGTCACGAATGGCAATGCACAGAATAGTGGTGCTTGGTTTGACAATAGTACAAGGAAAGGAACGCCTCTCACTTGTCTTCTCATCATAGGTATCAACAACAATCAAGACAGCAGGCCAAAACACAGCAAGAAAAAAGCAGCAACAATGCAGCTGTCCCTGATCCCACTAATTCCTACACCGTACATAGACCCAACTGCACACTGCCCTCCCCTCCCACCTGCTGATCCCCATAATATACACTTAGACTACAACCAGGTCTCTTGACCCCCCTCAACTTCTCCCAAGCTATTCTTCGCTCCTACTCAAATATCTGCCCACGCAGGGCGCCATCAGGATACTTCTTCGTGTGAATGTTCATGTAGAATCCCTCCGGACCCGCCGAAATCGCCTTGAGAAGCGACAGAAACGCCGGCGTCAGTTCCTTCTTATTCTTCCCGAGCACGCCGGTGCATTGAAACTCACTTGTGGCCCTCAAAAACCGGTTTTTGCACGGCAGATCCAGCACCTTGGGACCGTTTGATCCCTCTGGTGCCTTGTGCACATGCGTCATGGTCGGCGGCATATTGTCCTCTAGCTCATAATCTGTCACTTTGTACTCAAGCTTCACAGGCAGGCCCTTTATCCTGCAAATCACACGTCAATGAAACGGGGGTTAACATTCCAGACATTGTAACGGGGTTCAAGTGTGCATGTATGACAAAGTTGAGCTTTGAACATAGGAGCTTTGAACATGGAAGAATGCACTTGGTATATCATGGGGCATATCATCAGAGCACCCATTGGCCCTGCTCTGTTGGATTTGCGGAACTCAGGCCTGACAGACTCACTTGTGAATTGTTAATGCCACAGGCGGCGTGGCCTGACAAAACTCAGGCCTGACAGACACAGACTCACTTGTGGATTGTTCCTGACGGACTCACTTGTGGATTGTTAATTCCATGTTTGCCAAGCCGCCTGAGTCGCCAATCGTCCATGGCGGCTTCTGTGTATCGGAACTAGGTTTTCTCGCTTTCGTATCGGAAACCAGTTGCCAGCGACTGGTTGGGTAAAACCAGTCGTTTCGGTTTGCAAACCATTGGCTTTGGCCAATGGTTTGCGCTTTGGATGCTTTGGGGGCGTATCGTTTGCGTGTTGCCCAGCGCGAGTCCGAGAAGTCGCACCTGATTTCGAGGCATGGGTGGTGAGTTGTATGTTTGGCACAGGTTTGGAAGTAGCTCTGAAGATTTTGGCCAGTCGCGAAGCTCCACGCCTGCACAGTCTGGTTGGTCGAAATTTTGCCTCTGCCATCGATGGTTTGAGATTCCATTATCTTGTATAAAGGTTCCCGAAGTGTAACTTATCGTGTTAGTTGATGTAGATTTATGTAAGTGCAAACATTTAATGTGATATCTGAATATTTTGTTGTTTTTTTTTGTGAAAGGAACAACAGGAATGAATGAACTAGGAAAGTGTGAGATACAAATATGAAAGCTGTACCCCTTAGTGTCTACCCCACTACAGCCTACATAGGCTAAGGCATATATATCTGACACACCCCCATAGGCAAAGTGGGGGAGAACTAGGGGTCACAAGACCAGTCAAGCAAAGCAAAGCAAAGCAAGCTCAGGGTGGATCACAACGTCACCACACAGTCTGAGCACAGGTTCAAAGGCCACAAGGCCAGTTCACATGCAAGTTCATATATAAAGGTAAACAAGCAAGTACAGGTATATATAGATCACAGAACAAGGAAAGTCAAGAGGTAAGCAAGTGAGGTCAAGTAGGCACAAGACCTAGCATAGTACAGAAGCGCTGATGATCACAAGGCTGAAGTGCCTTGGTAAAGATATCAGCAGTGTTGGCCTGAGAGGCCACGTAAGCAAGGCGCAGCTGGCCACGCTGCTGTAGCTCACGAGCAAGGAAGTAGCGAAGAGCAATGTGCTTCGTTCTGTGCTCCAGTCTGTGCTCCCGACACAAGGCCAGCATGGCCTTGTTGTCTACGTACAGAACTGGAGGAGAACGAGGCGGCTCTCCAAGGTCAGTCAGCAAGTAGGTGAGCCAGCGTAACTCCTGTGCAGCCATGGCCCCTGCGTAGATCTCAGCCTCACAGCTGGAGCTGAGAACAGAAGACGAGCGGGTAGACCGCCACGAAACAGAGCCGGAACCAAGGCTGAAGGTGTAACCCTGTGACGACCGCTGCGTAGCCAGGTCGTCCACCCAAGACGCGTCTGCATGACCAGTGAGGACCACTGGACTCCGCCCTCCAAGCACTAGCCCCAAGCCCGAAGTACTGCACAAGTAGCGCAACACCCTCTTCGCTGCAGCCATGTGCTCTGGTCGGTGTCTCCCAGGAGCAACATAGCGCGCCAGAATGCTCAGAGGGTATGCTAGGTCAGGTCGAGTGCAGGTCATCAGGTACATGAGGCAGCCAACAAGCTCTGGGTACGGGCCACTCGGCTCTACGGACTCATCCGAAGGCAGAGCTGAGAGCGAGTGGCGAGTAGACAGAGGAGTGGCCTGAGGCGAGGAGTACGTGAAGTCGAAGCGCTGAAGGACCTGCTGCACCATGTGTGACTGAGTCAGGGTGATGGTGCGCCGTGCTCTGTCCCGGGTGATCTGCAAGCCAAGATAGCTGCGCAGTTCACCCAGGTCTGTGCACGTGTGTCTCTTCTGCAGCTCGGACTTCACGTGGGCGAGTCCAGCAGTGTCAGCTGTAGCAAACACCAAGTCGTCGACGTACACGAGGATGTAGAACGGCGGCAGTAAGGTGTCGGTGCGAAGAAACAGCGACGGGTCAGCAGTGGAAGGAGCAAACCCAAGAGCCGCAAGCGTAGTCCTCAGTGTGTCGTGCCACTCACGTGGCGCCTGGCGGAGACCGTAGACTGGCCGCCGAAGGCTCCACTGGGTACCAGGAGGAAACGACCCAGTGAAGCCAGGTGGGCGGCGCAGCCAGATCTCCTCGTGCAGACTGCCCTGTAGGAAAGCAGTGCTGAAGTCAAGGGAGTGAAGCTCGTAGTCACGCTGAGCAGCAACGTGCAGCAGAACCCGAAGAGTGGTCATCTTCGGGGTCGGGGAGAAGGTCTGAAAGTAGTCAACTCCCTGCCGCTGACTGAAGCCTCGAGCCACGTAACGTGCCTTGAAGACAAGCGGAGAACCCGGCGGCCGCTTCACCCTGAAGATCCACATGCCACTGACGATGTTCGCCCCAGGTGGGGGAACCTCGTCGACGTAGGTGCCTGTGGACTTCCAGGAAGCCATCTCTGCGTCCATGGCTGCCTGCCACTGAGAGGAGTAAGGACCCTCTATCGCCTCTGCGTAAGAGCGCGGGGTCGGGATGTCTGGTGCATCCGGGTCTCCCTCAGGGGCAAGCAGCGTGGACACGAGATGAGGTAAAGCAGCAGCAAAACACAGGAACTCCTCCTGTCGGTCCTCAAGGACGTCTGTGCTAAGAGCACACTCACCCCCGACGGACGGAGGACAGACAGACGCAGACGCTGACTCAGCAACAAGACTAGCGGCGTAGTCTAGACGACAGTGAGCAGCGAAGTCGACAAGCTCGGTAACTAAGGCAGACGCAGCAGTGGATTTAAAGGAAGGGTCAGTGACAACAGTGGCTAGGAAACGCGTGACAGCAGGACTGGCAGCACGAAGGGAGTCAGACGCCGGGTCAGCAAGAGCAGGAAGAGAGGACTCTGGAGGAGACGGCAAAGGGACACGCTGTGGCGCAGTGGAAGGACGCAGTGCCATCTGATGCGTGCCCGGGACTGCAGGAGGACGCGGACGTGGAACACGACGACTAGTGCGAGCAGTACGAACAGGTGACGCAGGACGCGACTCAGGCTCACGACGCTCAGCAAGACCTCCAGTAGGACCAGCGTAGGGAGAAGGAGCAGGCAGAGGGGAGACCAGCTGTAACTGTGACTCGGACTGGACAGGCGGAGGACACTCTAAGGAAGGAGCAGGACTAGGAGAAGGCGGAAGACCAAGAACCTGCTCAAGGAGCGGAACGAAGTACGGCCGCGGCCGCGCAGCACCTCCAGAACCAGCAGGGACAACACCAGTACCCCCAGCGTCAGCTCCAACTCCAGCAGCACCACCAGCTCCAGTACCTCCAGCAGCTCCAGCTCCAGCAGGACCACCAGCAGACGCAGCCGCTCCGGCTCCAGTACCTCTAGTAGCACCCACTCCAGCAGCACCACCAGCTCCAGCTCCACCAGTAGCTCCAGCACCAGGAGCACCACCAGGCCCAGCAGCTCCAGTACCTCCAGTACGAGCACCTCCGGGACCCGTGGCTCCAGCACCCCCAGCAGAAGCAGAACCTCCAGTACCGGCTCCAGCAGCACCTCCAGCTCCAGAACCTCCAGCAGCAGCAGAACCTCCAGCACCGGCAGCACCTCCAGCTCCAGCAGCACGGCTCCAGCGGCGAGCAAACCACTCGCGCAGCTCCTGTGGAGAGGGAAGCTCCCGCCGGGACAAAGCACCCGAAGGACCGCCAGGTCCAGCACCGTCAGGCTCCACACCCCCACTCCCAGCAGCCCCATGCTCAGCACCCCCAGAAGCAGCACCCCCAGGCCCCGCACGCTCAGGCTCAGCACCCCCAGACCCAGCACCCCCAGGCTCCGCACGCTCAGGCTCAGCACCCCCAGACCCAGCACCCCCAGGCTCCACACGCTCAGGCTCAGCACCCCCAGACGCACCAGAGTCAGCAGCTACCTCGACAGGCTCGACTGCATCTACCTGGGACACACCTGAGGGGGCAGGACCCTGAGGGGGGAGGGGGTCTACCGGGGGGGGACCGGGAGCGAGGAAGAGCGGCGG